TTTGGATTTGAGACTTTAGTCTTTGCAACTTTACAGATCTTCTTTACGCACCAAGAGCTTGTAACACTCCAAAGTAAGCATGGGACAATAACCGGTTTCAAGGTATACCGCGGTTTGGAAAAGTCACGGTTTCAAAACCACTAAAATTTTCCGTTATACCGTTCCTGCGGTATGCGCCGTTTTTTTTACGTGTCGTCAAAGACGGAAATTGCAGGACTCCCTCAGTTGTGTGCAGCGAAGAGCGTAACGAGTCACACGACCCCTCCCCCTCAGCCCCTCCGGTTGGTGCGAGCGGAGTCACCTGTGTGTAGGATGGCCGAAGGAGATGAATCCCTGGAACTTTTTCCCCCGTCGAAAAAGACGAAGTCTGTCGTATGGGAATTTTTCGGGTAACGTAGACTAACCATGTTCCGTACACAATGATGTTCCGTACAGATGACGTTTTAGCTCCATAAATACTTTAAATACTTCCAAGTCGAACATAAACTATATATGTCATCTTCGGTTTTCTAACTCTTCACAGACAGAGGACACCCGCCGTTTGTTTCAGTGTTGAAATAAATACTATTTGGCTTGCTACCGAGGCAGATAACATGGCTAATTAACTAGCTAACGTCAACTAGTTTCCTCCCTCACGTTACTTCACAGAGTGAGGAATAGCAGTCTTTAAAGTACGTACTGTAGCCTACTTTTCTGCGATTTAGTACAATAATTAAATTTAGCTGATATCACGTCTATACTTTTAAGCCTCCTGCCATTGTTTACATCTGTTCAAAATCACGCATTTAAAAAAAAACAAAAAAAAACAAACACTTTGCCACTGTTCGAGTGTTGTACGGAGAGACCGCACGCGTGTGTGTGTGTGCGTGTGACACTTGCGCTCTCTCTTTCCTTATGTGTGTATGTGCACACATCCTCGTACCTCACCGCTCCAAACCATAGCTCCAAACTTAATCCGGGAAAGGTGAACATTCCTGCATCATAACTTGGACTGAAAGATGAATGTGTAGAAAGCGAGCATGTCTCCAAAAACCTTTATGCATGCATTTTTTATTAATTTTTTTATTTTATTTTTTACAGAAATTATGTTTTGATTATATTTTTGATTATTGAGCTGCAGGTTTATAGGCTCACTTAAGTGACTGCATTTTTTTTCATTTATAGGGATTTTATTTTTTTACAGAAAATAATTTATTATGTTCTGATTATCGTTGAGCTGCAGGTTTAGGCTCACTTAAGTGACTGCATTTAATTAAGAAGAATTTAATTATTTATTCTAATTATTTAGCCTGACATGTTTACTGTTCCAAAATGTTCTATATGTTTCTTAAAAATAAAATGTGTTCAGTGGGAAAAATAGTTAGTTTTTTTACCCAGACATTTAAAAATAACATATTTTAGAGCTGCAATCACAATACCGTGATATTTTTTATCTAAGGTTATCATACCGTCAGAATCTCATACCGGCCCATGCCTAGTGAGATACTGTGTATATATATATATATATATTTATTAGTGGTGTCAAAATTAGCTCGTTAACGCAGGCGATTAATTTTTTCAGTTTAACGCGTTAAAA